CACAAATGAGATGCATAAAAAAGAAAAGCGAAACAATAAACGAGGAAAAAAAATAGTTAAGACAAGTTTTTCACGAAAGTCTCAATGACCAAATTTTCGTCAAGTTTCAACGACTTCCACAACAAGGTTTGTAGCTAAAGACAAAGACCCCAACACCACAACATGTCCCTTTAGTAGTAAATCATATCATATATATAATACGATTTTTCCACGACTGAAAAGTCGACACATTAGACTCTACCCCCAGAGAGAGGACCAGACTCAAAACCAAAAGTCTAAAAATAAAAAACATCTTAAAGTCAAAAGGAGAACCACAAAGGCAAGTAGAGAATAAGCAGTTTCCTTTTGATATTCGTCATCATCAACTTCTTTACTTACAACCCACCTGCACCTTCTTCATGGTGGTCTCTCATCCCTCCAGGAATCTCCTTCTTCGACTTCGGCTGCAGTTAGAAAACAAAACAAAAAACGCAACTCCCGTTAACTTTCATTTCACTTTTCTATAACGAAATCTTTACTAATAACAAATTAACTTGCCTGGTTCTGAAGAGTTGTTATGGTGGATCTAAGCAGATCATCTCCTACTATAGCCCGCAGTTTCCTCACAAACTCCGCTCTCGTCATTTTCTTCTCCTGCATAAAGATTTCTTTCAATTTCAGAACTCACACGATTATCAAATATTATAGCTGAAACTCAAAAATCATGGGTTCCTACCCGGAGTTGTTGGTAGTCAGCATTGATGAAGGTCATGTCTTTCTCTGCAACCTTATGCGAGATTGCTGCAAACAGAGTAGGGAAAGGCATCCATGGAGATTTGGGTCTTGTAGTGCTGGATCCGACACTGTTTGCGCTACCCGAGCCTCCTGTTCCCTGTTTTTAAAACACACAATCCCCAAGTATTAGTTGTCCAATTCCCTTGATAACAATCACACAAAAGGATGAACTGAAAACCAAACACTCACGTTTGACTCTAACTGTGGAGGAAGATCCTTGGGTCCTTCCAGAGTAACTCCCGAGTTATCATTCTTAGCAACCAAATTACCTGCAGAGGACAGTGTATGTTATCGGCTTCTAATACCGCAGAAAACAGAATGTGATGGATCGAAATACCCATTAGGCCGTGTGAGTATCTCATCCGACCCCCGGATGATGAATCAGAGACTTGTCTCTTAAAACCAAACGTGTTATACCACCGGAGGTCGTAAGGTTACCACACATATCCCTTTTTTTTTCTAAATTTATCAGTTGAGAGCTGAGCTTCAGCCAGTTCAATAAGCTGTCTCCCTTTTTCAATGCGTCATCAGTTGATTTGAGTTTGCGAAAAATGATATTGCAAGTAACAGGAAGGGAACAAACTAATCACCTTCAGCATTGGAGGGAACAGACAGCTTGAACCTAACAACAAATTCTGGGAATATATGGGTGTTCATATTGATGTTCCAGACAATGTAATTCTTCGGATTTTTGATATCATCAACTCCATTGTCGTACTCTTCTCCACCAGAAAAGAACTGTGCTTTATCACCACGAAGAAGCTCCATATTCCCCATTATTACACGGCATAACACCATGTAACGTACTCCGTTTTCATCAATATCACAATACCTTGCACTGAAAACAAGCATTTTACGGTTGGTACTTGAAACCCAAAGTATCTGTTGGAGATAGGAGCCCGTAATATATGAACTAAACTATGGAAAAGAAAAAATTAAAGTAAGAGGCAGACTCAATGACAGAGCAAGGGAAAACCTGAAGTAAGGGCAATCTGCAGCAGTTAAATGAATCCCAACACCATAGATGGACTTTCTTATGAATGCTGCACCCACTCCAAGTCCTTGCATCATAACCGTTGACAAAACTTCCCTCTTTGCAGGAAGCCATGCATATCTAACGTTTGCATCCCCACGATGTTTCTTAGTGATCTCAACTTGCTTCTGGAAAAGTGCTAGACGAGCTTTGGCAATCTCACTGGAAAAACGGCCCACATCCAGCACCGCTACATGCCCTAGAGAAGCTGTACCTAAAGCAAACATTTTTTTTACCGCATCTTTATCCAGTACTTCGGATCCAGCAGGCTTAATACCAGAGACTATAGCATCCGTCTCATCCCATTTCGAAACAGCAGCTTCAACATCATCCATATTGTCACCAGACTCGTCACTGCACTCCTCCAAATTCAACCTCGGTGACTCCCCACCATTAACATCAATCTCAAGATGCAGCTTGATTTCATGTGGAGCATATTGTTTTGAACTTTCTTCCACACAGTTATGATGGCAGTAATCATTCCTCTCATCAGTCTCGTAAATTTCAGGGAAAAAGCATTTGCCTCCAATGTCAATCCATGCAAGCGGCGTTTTCGCCCCTGTTTCCAAGTCTAGTCTATGCATGTGCAAGAAATCCAAGATAAAATGGTGGCCGCACCATTCAAACTCAATAGCAGCTCTCTTTTCTTCAAGCTCATTCCTAATACCGCAGATGGTATCTTCAGGTAAATCAATCCATTCACCGTTCTCATAGATCATGACACGTGTGGGCACACCAGTCTTCTTAAAGTAAGAATAATATCTTACCAACGACTTCCCAGAGCGATTCTCAGAAGCATCATCCAATTTTCTCCTTTTATCAGAAAAGCCATTCGGTAACGGCACAACATGATGCAGCTTCGCACAAGAAGATCCAGTAACATACGCCGCAGCATAGCTTGCCGAGCGCTTCCTCTTCTTCCCGAAGCCATCGACACAAGTACTACCCAACACCTTCACGATCTTCGCATCCATTTCTAGCTATTAACAACACTAAACCTATAACCCTGAAAGAAGAAAAAGTCAAGCTGTCTTCTAAACTCCCTAGTAGTCCTAAAGATAGTTTCTTGCCGACAGCATCAGACAACACTGCATAACCCAAAAAAAACAAGAAATGAGACAATAAAGGTCAAAGATATTTACATATAAACACAGAATCAAATCAAGAAATCAATCAAAACATGCAAAAAAAAAAGAAGGAAACTCTCAATTGAAACTTACCAAGCTGCAACAATTAAAGCCTGATACATACTTGTGTTCATCTTCTTCTCTATAAAGAAAAATAAACACAATCAGAGAAGAGATAACACTGTCTTTTATTCGATTTTTCACAGCCGTCGGCAAGAAAAGTTCCTGCATATACACAAAAACCACCAAACAAAAATTAGCTTCACAAAATCTTCAAATCATGAATTTACTTAAGGAAACAAGTCAATCCATAGACTAAAAAACGCAGATCGGAGACAAAAATCGATTAATTCAACAAAAAAACACTCGAAATCAAACGAATCTAAGCCGATCTACAAAACCTGACCTTAAAAATCCCCAAAAAAAAAAAAATCATACACGAATTCGCGAAAATCGGAGAATCAAAAACCTATGAATCAGATACATAGGAATTAGATAATTAACCTGATAAGTTCTTCAGATCGATCGCTGAAAGGTAAGGGTTCTCTCTCAAAAAAAGCAAAACCAGAAATTAAGAGAGAGGAAGAGAAGAAGGATAGATATGCTTAGAGAGAAGAAAACCCTAAACCAGCGATGACGAAGAAGAAACTATAACGAAGAAGACGACTCATGTATATATAAAGAGTAAAGATCGTCGGCGATTTTGATGAAGTCGGCGGTTTCTGAGTTTTTCTCTTTTTTTCTTTCTCTAACCCAAAAAAAATTTGCTTGGACGAAAAGCAAATCAAATTGAGTTATGTTAAAGTTACACGTCGTTTACTTATTAATCGTCAATGACGAAGTCTGATTGGATGGTGATAGTTTTTAATGAGGCGGTCAATACACGGTGATAGAGATATGGTCGAATAAAATAAAATTTATTTCATGGGATATTTAATAATATTATCTTGAAAGAAAAAAAAAATCATGGGAGAATTATTTAATTTAAATAATGGAAGGGGACAAAGTTATAAAAATTATTGACAATATATATAAAGAAGTGAATTGACGATAAGGACCATGATGAGATTGTGAATCGATGGGGTCAGGGTCATTTGAAATGGAAGATAACTATGGAAATAAAAAAAGTGATATATCTTTTGGCATAGAGAGATTCTACATGAATATATCTTTTTCTTTCTATATAGTATTTAGTAACAAATTTGATTGATGATATTTTAGAAGTTTTTTGAAATGATTAATATGAAAGGAATTTGAAAATATTTTATATAATTATGATAGCATAAATGTAAGAAAATATTTAAACTTCGCGCGCAAAATTAACGGTATGAAAATAAAATTACGTAAACCAAAACGTATGTTAAATTTTTTCCAAACACTAAACAGAATAAAATTATACAAAACTTTAACAATTTAACATTCAATTCAAAATGAGAAATCAGTGTTTGTGAATGTAATGTTATTGTATAATTTTCAAATTTTATCATGTTAAGAAGGAAAAAATCCATGAAAATATCAATCACTGATTTACTTCCAAAGTTCCAATACCATATGCATATTTTTCAAACTTTATTTAAAAAAATATAGTATTTATTAATTCCATTTCTTCAAAACAAAACTTTGTAAATCACATACTCGAAACTTGGTCCTAAATAAAAATGTATATCCATTATCCAAGTAACCAATATCATACTACTAAAATCTCAAGAGTTTCCTATCACAATTTTATACGTTTATGAATGATATACATCACAATTTTGACTTAATGGAGAGATAAGAAACTATTTAGTACTCGTTTTAAATATCTATAAGATTCTCACACTCTCATTTTGGCAGCTGCTTCTTTGATCTGTTCAATAGTGAAAATGCCAAAGAAGTCATCATCTTTAATGGCATTAATCACAGCAAGTGCTAGATCATCGACGTTAACCGGTGGAGCCAAGAGGAGATCAGACGCAGGGAGAGACCTCAATGGTTTGATGAAACTCTGTGCAGCATCATAGATCTTGTCCAATGGTTCTCCTACTAGATCAAGCGGGATCTCGAGTCCGTTCACTTTTCGTTTCCCGTATATGAATCCAGGTCTTAGCACTACTCCTATAAGAACAACAACAACGAAGTGAAGATCATAGAAACATCCGGTAAGTTTCTTTCTAGGAGTGTTTAATCCGGATAAACCGAGCAAAAAGAACGACCAAATTCCAGAAAATGATTAGTGTTTAGAAATGGTTTAACTGTTTTCCATATCCGAAAAGAACCGACTTGAACCTTAAAATAAGTATATGTTTGTTTAAAGATGGCGAACATGAACCGAAACCATGCCAAATTGATCCATACTAGATTGTTCGATGTCACTTTGGTTGATTATAACAAATCGATTCATACTAGATTCGGTGCATAACCAAAGAAACCGAAACATAACGAAGGTGATTGGGATCTATCTTTTACCAGAGGTGGGATATTTGGAAAGAAGTTCTGCCTCTGCATTACGTTTTCCGGTGAAATATCCACTGGAGAGGATAAATGGCGGAAGATTGTAATCATGAACCGTGATCAAGACGAATTTAGGAACACCTAGAAACGATAAAAGATTCAGAAATGAAAAAAAAAACCACGGAAATGCAATTCGGTAATCACTCAGGGTTTTAAGCTACAAAGATACTTAACCGAAATCCTTAGCAGCATTCACAGCGACAACGTTAGCTTCACCATTGATTCTTTTCATCTGCTCTTCATTTCCGAAACCCCCAATGGTCGAAACTACGGCTGTAGCACCGAGAAGCACTTCATCCCAATTCAAATAGAAAACATCACCTGCACAAACCCGAAAAGGCGAAAAACACTAAGAACCAAACTTGTATATGTTTCATGTGAATCTACCACATAACAAGAACCAAAATGTTACCTGTGACCCATGTAACCTGATCCAACCATGATCCTTGAAAGTTAGGACGACCAGACCTAAAGAATCAATCAAAGAAATTGGTAAAAAATCAATCGAAAAAGCGAGATTAGTCAAGATTACGACGCAAAGCAGCGTGTTTATACTCTCTTTCTCTTTACCTGCTAACACTTACAACTTCAATTCCTTTGGTAATTGCTGCTTTGCAAATAGCTGAGCCAACGAAACCATTGCCTCCAAGAACTACAACCTAACTAAATAGTAAAGATCCTTTTAGTTCTAGACAAGAATTTGTATAAACACATAAGTAAAAGGCTCGATTTTTGTTAATACCCTTTCGGATTTGATATCTGCAACAATGTCAATTGGATCTGACCTCGAATCACTGCTGAATCCAGCTTCAACATAACTACACTTAACACAAGACTTGAACAATCTGTAATCACAAACACAAACACAAAAAGCTTCATTTCACATGAATTTTCCTTTACAAACTATCAATTTCACATCTTTTGGCTTCAACGATTACGGAATACTGCAAAAGAACTCGACTTTGTAAAAACCCAGTGCAGAGATTTTGATACGTTGTTCAAAAGAATCAATTACTTCAATTGAGTTCAAATGAAGAAACATAGTTC